GCAGCCCCCAGCCTGGGCCGAGGGCCGTCCCCGAGGCCATGTAGCCCCCAGGGCCACACTGAGTGCTGTCGGTGAGTGAGAGCCGGGCTGCATGGTATAGGATGTGTTCAGGTGCAGTTGTGTCGGCCCCGGCTTGTGGCTGGATGTATAACACGGCTAAACATGGCCTGTTCCGTGTCATTGTCACTGTCGTGGGCACGTCTGGGCCTGCTGTCACTTGTGTCCGTCCATTGTTCTCACTGACCCTCTACCAGGCAGGATGCCCTTTGCTGGCGCTGGGTCTTTCCTGATGACGGGGCAGAGCCGGGGTCTTGCCAACCTCTCATCTAAGGAAGCCTCTGCTTGTGTTTCCCCCAGAGCTGACTGACTATCCTCCTGGCGGCCTGCAGTGTGTTCCCTGACCTTAGCCAGTCTGTTCAGTATTCTTCACTGGTATATTCGGTGTCCTTCACCAGTACACCCACCGTCCTCAGCCGCTACACCCACCGTCCTTGGCCAACACCACAGTTTGAATGCACCGACCCTCCTGTCTTTTCTGTTGTCCACCTCCCGTGTGCACAGAAGGCTCATTGACTAAATGGATCTTTTTATTTTTTTTTTAAGCAAATTCACAGGCAATTTCTTTTACAACTACATGATGGGCATTGAGTTCAACCCTAGGATTGGCCAGTGGTTTGACTTCAAGCTGTTCTTCAATGGACGCCCCGGCATTGTTGCTTGGACCCTCATTAACCTGTCCTTCGCCGCTAAGCAGCAGGAGCTGTACGGCCGGGTGACCAACTCCATGGTCTTGGTCAATGTCCTGCAGGTAACCTGGCGAGGCCCGTGAGGTGCCGGGGCTCCTGTTTGCTGGGCACTGGGGAGGCCCAGGAGCTGGTTTCCAAACAGCCCTGCCCCCATTGCCATCAAGGAGCTCTGGTGGCGTAGTGGGTAAGGCATCTGGCTGCTAACCAGAGGTCAGCTGTTCAAACCCACCGGCTGCTCTGTGGATGATGATGAGGCAGTCTCCTTCCATAAAGATTTACAGCTTCGGAAACCCGACGGGTTGCCGTGAACCGGGACTGACTTGATGGTGGTGAGTTTGGTTTACGTGTTGCCATCGAGTCAGTGCCGGCTCACGATGACCCCGTGATGACCGCACATGTCCGTCTGGTCAGTACCAGCTCAGATGGTCAGTGCTGGCTCGTGACGACCCCTTGTGTCCATCCAGTCAGTGCCGGCTCACAATGACCCTGTAGTGACCCCACGTGTCCATGTGGTCAGTACCAGCTCATGACGACCCTGTGACAACCCTGCGTGTCCATCGAGTCGGTGCCGGCTCATGATGACCCCGTGACGACCCCACGTGTTCAGAGCAGGCCTGTTCCGCAGGGTTTTCAGGGGGTGTGACTTTGAGAGTCGGGCTGCCAGGTCTTTCTTCCCAGGCTTCTCTGGGCTGACTTGAACCTCCAGCCCTTCTGTTGGCCCAGCACCGTTAACGCCCAGAACCCCTCAGACACTCAGGGACTGGAAGGCACGGCAGTGGCCTGCACGGGACCGGGTGGACGCAGCCTGGCCAGTGCGGGCCAGGAAGGCTCCCCTTGCGGAGCATCCTTGGCAGCGTCTGGGGTGAGCAGGAGTGAACCAGGCAAAGGGGTGAGGGGAGGGCCTTCCAGGCAGGGGGACAGCCTGTGCCAGGCCACGGGCCAGAGAGGTCAGCAAGGCTGGGGAACAGGCGTGTCCTGGGTTTAGAGCCAAGACTTCCAGAACACGGAGCCAGGTGTGGCTGGAGAAGGGTGGGGCCTCCCCAGTTCTCGCCTTCCGTGTGGAAGACCTGGGTTCAAGTCCCAGCAGTGCGGCCCCTGCACAGCCCCCCACCCCCGTCTGCCGGTGGAGGCTGGCGTGTCGCTGGCATGCTGCCAGGTTTCAGTGGGACCTCCGGACTAAAGGACTAGGAGGGAGGGCTGCCGGCCGACCTTGGACAGTCAGCCGTTGACAACCCCGTGGGGCCCAGTGCCACAGTAACAAACACGGGGTCACCGTGTCAATGTGACGGCAGCTGGGCCTCACGGAGGTGCAGAGCCTGCCGCTTGCCGTCCGTGCAGCCACTCGCACGCCTTCCCGGGCTCGTCCCCCAGGACCTCTCACGGGGCCCCTCGTGACGGCCCAAGAATCATCGCAGTCCTTTTCTCACCATCCGCCCTGTCTCTGCAGGGACCCCACCTGCAATTCTGCCACCCTCACCATTTAAGGCCTCCAAGGCGTTTCCCCAGGTGGACTCCCAGGTCTCAGGTGCCTGGAGTGGGGAATGACGACCAGTGTGTTATTGTCACCCGTTGTCCGTATGTGTAGTGGACATTAATCTTGTCTACCCCATGGAGTCACAGGTCCAGGTCACTGTGCCATGGATTGTTGTTGTTTGTCATCGAGTCGGACCCAACTCATAGCGACCCCTCCTTGGGTTGTGGAGGCAGTATCACTACGGAAGTAGATTGCTCCATCTTCCTTCTGGGGAGTGGCTGGTGGGTTTGAATCGCCAGCCTTCTGGTTAGCAGTTAAGTGCCTTAGGCACTGTGCCACCAGAGCCACGGGTAGTTGCTGGGAAAAATGGGGGTGGCTCACTCTGTGGCCAGAGGGTGTCCTGCTGACAAGGCCGGTGGTACAAATGCCACATCCCCCATGGACCATCCCTAAGACCTTCCCCATTGCACCTATCTGCGCTCCACCTCTTGGGGGTGTTGCAGGCGCCCCCCTTTCTGACAGTCATTTGTGAGACCTCCTGGTCCTTGTGCAAATGCCCACCTTTGTCCCCAGAGGAAGTGCCAGGCAGGATGGAGCAGCCCTGCGGTGAGCTTGGCCGCGGTCCAGCTGACCTCACCCTGTAGGAGCACAGCTTTTCCCTAGGCCCCCACCTGGGCCCAAAGGGAGGGTGGTGGCCGACAGCTGCCTTGTCCTGCAGGCCATCTACGTGCTGGACTTTTTCTGGAATGAAACCTGGTACCTGAAGACCATTGACATCTGCCACGACCACTTTGGATGGTACTTGGGCTGGGGAGACTGCGTCTGGCTGCCGTATCTTTACACCCTGCAGGTGAGGCGGGCGCGGGCGGGTTCCCTGCTCCAGGGCTGTGCCCAGGCTGCCCTGTGGCCAGAGCCTGACCGGCACGTGTCGGCTTTGCTTTTTCTTCTGATCCACTTAGCTTTTGTTGCCCAGCATCTGCAGCTCAGAACACGCACAGTTCACCACTTCCTACACGCCCGGTTCAGTGACGTCAGTGACAGCCTTTGGGTCAGGCTCCCCTGCTCTCCCTCCTTTTCCAAGCACGCCTTTGGGGGACACACGTCAGCCCCTCACAGTGTACCACACGCACAGCCATCTTTGTATGCTACTCCCTGGCTCTCCACAGCAGCCCTCCAAGGCGGGGGCTTCACTTACAGACAGAAGGCTGAGGCGTGACGCGTGGGTAGGAGCTAGGAGATGGCAGGGCAAGATTTGAGCCCAGGCCTGTGGGCCTGGCGTGACCCGTCCCTCCCCACCCCAGGGCCTGTACCTGGTCTACCAGCCCGTGCAGCTCCCCACCCTCCATGCCGTGGGCGCCCTGCTGCTGGGCCTGCTGGGTTACTACATCTTCCGCATGGCCAACCATCAGAAGGATCTGTTCCGCCGGACGGACGGGCGCTGCCTGATCTGGGGCAGGAAGCCCAAGGTCATTGAGTGCACATACGTGTCGGCCGACGGGCAGAAGCACCACAGCAAGCTGCTGGTGTCGGGCTTCTGGGGCGTGGCCCGGCACTTCAACTACACAGGTGACCTGATGGGCAGTCTGGCCTACTGCCTGGCCTGCGGCGGCGGCCACCTGCTACCCTACTTCTACATCATCTACATGACCATCCTGCTCACACACCGCTGTCTGCGGGACGAGCACCGCTGCGCCAACAAGTACGGCCGAGACTGGGAGCGCTACACTGCCGCTGTGCCCTACCGCCTGCTGCCCGGTGTCTTCTGAAGGGCCGCCGGGGCCCCAGGAGGGGCTGTCGAGAGCCTCTGGGGCCCAGTTGAGGGCGGCTGAACCGTCGCTCTGCCCTCTGAGAACCTCAGCCTTCTATGTAAAATGGGAAGAGGCTAGCACTTGGCAGGTGGTGGTTTCCAGAAACCTGAGGCACCTCTCCTTGCCCTCACCCGGAGGGGCTCTGAGGGTCTACAGCTGCCTTCTCGCCAGCTGAAATGGCTGGCTTTCAGTACTCGCTGTCCCAGTAGCAGGAGGGTGACCTGGTCACCTTTAATAGCCACTTGGTGACAGCACTTTCTCTTTGAATTGGTCCAAGCTACTGCCCTGCCCAGACACTTGATGGGCAGCCCTGCAGCTCCTGTTAGAAGGATTGCACTTGTTCTTGTTAAATAAAGTGGAAGTGGACAGAGGAGGTGTGCGGCTCTCAGCTTATTGGCTCGCAGCCCCAAATCCACCCTTCCTTACCCGCTTGGCACCAGTGGGACGGAGCCTGCAGCAAGCACCGTGGTAAACTTGCCGGTGGAGCGGAGGGACGCTGCATGAGGGGGAGGCCTCTCCTGACGTCCGCTCTTCCCCTTGCTTCCCCCTTGTTCTTGCTGCATGCTCTCCTGGGCTCGGGGTGTCTGGGAGCACTGTCCTGAGTGTGTAGTCCTTCGTGAGCTCACAGTGCTGGCCCAGCCACCCCCACGCTGTGGCCTCCCAGTGCAGATGTGCAGCCTGCAATTCTGCACCCCAAAGGCGTGGCTCCTGACTAACAAGTGCCCTCAGGCAGCCAGTTAACGTCACCACACAGTGGGCCTCGCTGCACCTTCTTCAATGAGACCCTCTCAAGGGCTCTGCTTCCTTGAGTGCTGTCCCTGAGACTCAGGGCACTTTATGCTGAAGCCCCTGCTACCGGTGAAAGTTCTTCACCTTAAACTTGGCCTGTTGAAATCACTGGGTGGTCTCTGTCCCTTGTTGAACCTGACTGCTACGCAGAGATGGGTGCTGCTAATAAGTGACCATTGAGTCTGCTCTGATCATGGCGGCCTCACATGCAATAGGGCGAAGTGTCCGGTCCTGCGTCGCCACGCACGCAGGCATGCTTGGATCCACCGCCGTGGCCGCTATGCCAGTTCATCTCACTGAGGCGCTCCCTTGCCCTCTGCTCACCACACACAGTGTCCAGTGACGATCCCTGCTGAGGCCGTGCCTGAAGCAGGCCAGTCAGGGTGACCTCTCGGGACCCACAGGTTTTCTCTGGCTGGTTTTCTGAGTTAGGCCCCAGGCCTTTCTTCCTGCTCTTGCTCTGGAAGCTTTGCTGAGACCTGTGCACCACAGGGGACCCTGCTAACATTTGAAATGCTGTTGGTATAGCTTCCAGCACCACAGTAGCCTGCAAACCACAGCAGGACAAGCAGACGGGGTGGGACTGAAAGAAGGGCTCTGTTTCTGGTAGGGGGGAGGGATGGATGTCTGAGAACCCATGCGGGGTCCCCTCCAGAGGGGTTCTGGGGTGGGCCCACCCCTTTGCGCATGCTCAGTCCTTGGTCTGGGCTCTTCTTGTCAGACTGGGGGCTCTGTTCCATTTGCCCACGGGGAAAAGCCCAGCATGCCCCCCTGCTCCTCAGCAAGGGCACAGAAGAGACTCCTGGCTGAACTGGATCAGAGAAGCCAGAAAGCTGCGTGGTGAGGAGCCCTGGTGGTACAGTGGTTACGCACTTGGCTGCTGAGAGGTCAGCAGTTTAAATCCACCAGCCACTCCTTGGGGAAAAAGATTTGGCAGCCTGCTTCCGTAAAGATTACAGCCTTAGAAGGCCTTTGGGCAGCTCTAGTCTGCCACTGTGTTAGGCAGGGTTCTCTACAGAAGCAAAACTAGTAGAGCTTAAATATATATAGAGAGATTTGTCACACAGTTGGAGAGGCCTGCAAGTCCCAAGTTCCTGGATCAAACGTCAAGCTAGAGGCTTTTCCCGACTCAAGCAGGTGCAGGAGGCTGACAAGCTCAAGGTTGGCAGGCAGTACGACTGTTGACTCAGACGGATGACTAATCCAAGACCACGTCACATCAGCTTAACCCACTCAGAATCGTGCACCAGCCAAGTTGACACACAACCTTAACCATCACAGTCCACCCCTTGCCAACTTGGAAGATGTGCACATGTCCTTAAAAGCACATATAATCTGTAAATAAGGACAGTTATAAAGTCATATTTGCACCTAGTGTGATGTGTACAACTGAAAATATATTTAACGCGGTTTACATTTCACAGTTCATAACAGAAGGAAACAAAAATATTTGATGCACATATACAATGAAGAAATATAACAATCACAGTCCTCGTTTCTGCAGCTGGTCACGTGGTCGTAGCTAATATTCAGAACCACCTTCTTCTACCACCCATTCTGTATTTCCTTTGCCCTCAGCAAACTCCTCAGCTGGTTGTGGTTCTTTGCCTGGTGGGGTGACCCAAACCTTCATTCCTGAAGGGTCTGGGCCATTAGCAGTCGTATCAGAATTGAGTTGCTGTTATTTTCCATTGACTTTAATCACAGGGTGTGGTAGTACTAAGAGACGTCGTAAAGAATCTCCTGTATTCCAGACATACTCGTCTTTACCTCCATTATGTAAAATAAATCCAATTTCCCCTTGGTAATTAGGAACTATCACACCAGACAGTACAGTAACACCCTTCTTTGTTGATCCAGAGGCAGGAGGAAGCCAAAATGGCCGGGTGACATTCTTAACTTTGAGTTCAATGCAAACAGTATTGTCTCCAGCTGGGAGTGTTCTTCCCTTTAGGACTAAGATCTCCAGACCCACAGAGCATAGGGTAGCAGGGACAGGAAGCAAACATGGTTAGAGTGGGTCACTAGGGGTAATAGTGGTACCACTCCTATTTCTACGCCTCGGTTCCTGGACCTGTGAATCCTGCTATTGGAGATGGATGCTGGTTTAGAGCATATACAGCCTCCTGGAGAACGCCCCAATCCTTTAAGGTACTGCCACCTAGCTGGTGCCATAATGTGTTTTCAGGAGGCCATTTCTTTCTTTATTTTTTTTTTTTAT